CATGAACGACACCGCCTAGGACGGCACAGAGGGGAAACGCCGACTTCCCCTTCATCAAATGTAGTCGACAACCGGCAGTATGGGCGCTCCTGGAGCTCCCCGAGTCACTTGTATGTTCGTCCTCCACCCTTGAGGAGGCTGCGCAATTGTGCGCGCGATAGTAGGAGATGTAGGAGTCGTCTAGCTTCTTCAGATCCTCAGCCTCGCTACCCGATGCGAGGATGGGGGGCTGTTGAAGACCGACGACCGCGCAGCCGTCTAGTCTACGGCCACACACACACACATAGTGTCCTTACCACCCCTGGACTGCATCTGCGCAGTTTCGTACCGCTGCGGCGCGGTTTTGCAAAAACCGTTCTGCAGCGGCGCGGTTTTGCCCTTCACCCGCAGCCTGGATTGATAGTCATTGTGGGTGTGGGGGCCGCGGGCCAGGACTTTTGTTTGAACAAAGTTTTGACAGTACATTTCTGTCGGGCCTTGGAACAGCTTGTGAGTGGTCACTGAAGACCTTCACAGGATCGCCGCCAAGGGGGCCACGCTCGGCGCAAACATGCGCGTGCAGATCGGCATACAGCGCCAACTCGCCGCGCAATCGGGCAAGACGTACGGCCTCAAGGCGTCCACGCTCGCGATGCAGGGCATCCTCGACCAAGACAACGCGGACCGCGCCAACGAGGCCAAGGCGGCTGCGCAGGCGGCGTTCGAGGCGGAGATTGCCTCGCAAGGCGTGCTCAAGGAGAAGCTCGCGGCCGCCGAGTCCCAGGTCGCCGCTCTCCAGGCGCAGATCAAGTCCGACAAGGGCGGCGGGGACCGCGGCGGCCGCGCAGCCGCTGGGCGCAAGCCGTGCCCCCACTGCAATGGGTTGCACGGTGGCAAGTGCATCGGCGACCTCATCTGCAAGGGGGTCCCTGTCGCCAAGGTGCTCGAGGAACTCCCCGACCGCATCGACCACGAGACGAAGGTGCGCATGGCCCAGTCCTCGTACAAGAAGGTGTGCGCCAAGTCCCCCGGCCGCACCCTCCCGCACGACCCCTTCAAGAAGTCGGACTCCACCGCGACCGACCACGAGGAGGTGCGGGCGGCGCTGGCCGACTCTGTCACCCGCACGTTCGACCCGGACGGCATCGTCGGCGGCTTTGTCGCTGGCGTCGGCACCGACCAGGTCGAGGACACCTTCCCCGACTCCAACCCCACCGACACGCCCGCCATCCTCAAGGCCAAGACGGCGGCGCGCAATGCGGCGGAGGCACGGGCGCGCGGCGGGCTGTGGGTCAAGTTCACCTCGTTCGTCACCGCGCTGCCTCGCCCGTACATCGGCGCTTCCATCCTACTCGTCCTGCTCGCGTGCCTCATCCCGGTCTACATGGGCTCGCCTGCCTCGATCGGCACGCCTGTGGCCGACGCCGTGGACGAGCCCTCGAACATGGGCGTGATGGTCGAGTCCGTCACCGCACTACCCCTCGAGCTGTCCACCGGGCCGGCGACTGGCTCAGGTGGCGGAGCAGAGTACGCCATCGAGGAGGACCCGCTCCAGCCGATCTACCGCAAGGTCGCGGGCGACATGTTCCGCGCGGTGAATGACATCGACGTGCCCAAGACGGTCCCGCTCGTCCTCTCGTACACGTGCATCATGCTCGCCATGTACGTGGCGCGCATGGACGCGATGCAGGCACACGCGCTTGTCGGGCATGTCAAGGTCGTCGACGCGTACGACACGACCGCCGGTGTAAACATGCCATGCGGCGGAGGCACGGGCGCGCGGCGGGCTGTGGGTCAAGTTCACCTCGTTCGTCACCGCGCTGCCTCGCCCGTACATCGGCGCTTCCATCCTACTCGTCCTGCTCGCGTGCCTCATTCCGGTCTACATGGGCTCGCCTGCCTCGATCGGCACGCCTGTGGCCGACGCCGTGGACGAGCCCTCGAACATGGGCGTGATGGTCGAGTCCGTCACCGCACTACCCCTCGAGCTGTCCACCGGGCCGGCGACTGGCTCAGGTGGCGGAGCAGAGTACGCCATCGAGGAGGACCCGCTCCAGCCGATCTACCGCAAGGTCGCGGGCGACATGTTCCGCGCGGTGAATAACATCGACGTGCCCAAGACGGTCCCGCTAGTCCTCTCGTACACGTGCATCATGCTCGCCATGTACGTGGCGCGCATGGACGCGATGCAGGCACACGCGCTTGTCGGGCATGTCAAGGTCGTCGACGCGTACGACACGACCGCCAACATGCCGGGATCGTATGCTGCTGGCGTCGACTCCAAGGCGGGCATGAACATGTTCCCGACGCCCGACTTCTTCCCTCACGGGTGGCGCGAGCCCGAGAAGCCCATCTACATCCGCTGCGCAAACAACGACTACCTCAAGGCGAAGGGCGTCGGCACCGCGTACGCCTTCGCGCTGGCTGACCCGACCAAGCCGCAGGACACCAAGGTTGTGAACACCGAGTGGGTGAACGCGCTGTACGCGCCCGGACTCGCCATGCCTCTCGTCAGCGTCAAGGAGTGCAAGGCGCAGAACATCGTGGTCCGCTTCGACCTCTGCCCATCACGCCTCAACTACCCCTCCGGGCAGACCATCTACTTCGGGGAGGACTTCAACATCCACCTGATGCCGCTCGGCGCATCCGTCGGCGCCAACGCCGCCAAGGCCATCGTGCGCGGCAAGCCGGGGCGGCGCCCGACGGATGGCACCTTCTGGCGGCACGCCCTGTGCATCTCCGGCGACGCGCTAAAGGATCTCAGCAAGATCGCGGACGGCGTGCCAGACCTCTCCAAGATGGACCGCAACGAGGGCCTCGACGACGCCGCGCTGCAGGCGAACGCCAAGTACCACGCGCGGCGCAGCACCGGCCGGCCACTGGCCACTCGCTTCGGAGGCTCGTCGCACTACGACCTCTGGTCGCCCAAGGGTGTGGTAGGCGTCGATGGGCACCGCTACGCACTCATGGTCGTCGACGAGCACACCAGCACCATCACGCCGTACATCTTGCAGACCAAGGGCCAGACGCCTGCCTACCTGCGCAAGTACTTCGCCGAGAACGAGGGAAAGGACGGCCACACGTTCCGCGGAGGGGTTGCGTTCTGCGACAACGAGGTCGTCCTCAACTCCAGCGCCGTGCGCGAACTCTGCCTCAAGTACGGCATCACCCTCCGCAACAGCTGCCCCTACGAGCCGTGGCAGAATGCCGCACGTTCGACCCGTGCCACCTCGCGGTCGTCCCACTCTCGTCGTTCTCTCCCTTGTCATTTCCTCCTCTGTCGCGTCGTTCCCTTCTGCCTCGTCCTGTGACGCCGCCGCCTGCCGGTCCCTTGTTCTCGCGGCTTCTTTCGCCTTTCGGCGCAACTCCGTCCTCCTCGCTGCGTATCCTGGCCCCTCGAGTCTATCGAGCTCCCCTCGCGCAAGGACCACGTTTCTGACTCCCACTCCGATCATTTGCCTACAGGTCATGTTTCGGGCCGGATGATTGGCATCGATTTAGGGAAATTCTTTTTCTCGCGATGTCCACCCCGCCGCGCCGCTCGCGCCGCCTCGCCCCCGCCACCTCCGCCGCGCCCTCGCCAGCCACGCCGCCACCCGCCCGCCTCCTCGACCTCCCCACGGACCTCCTCGTGCGCGTCCTCTCTCACTGCGACCCCTTCGACATCGCTCGCGTCGCGGCCGTCTCGCTCCTCTTCCACGCCTCCCTCGCGGTGCAGGGCATCCGCTTGTGGGCGCAAGAGCGCGGCTTCGAGCTGCCGGCGCAGCCCGAGGGCGAGGGCTGCCCCGTGCGGTGGCTGTGCTGTTCGGCCTTGCTGCGCGAGTCCAACCCGCCGGTGAGGGCGGCTGCAGGCGCTTGGCACAGCGTCTTCATCGACGGCGAGGGGCGGCTCTCGTCGTGCGGCTCCCCGCCGGCCTACATTCAAGCCCCAGGACTGCTCGGTCACGGTGAGGGCGTGACGCGGCTCAACACGCCGACCCGCCTCCCTTCCCCACTGGGCGGCGAGCGCGCCGTGAGTGTGTCGGCTGGACGCGGGCACAGCCTCGCCCTCACCGCCAACGGGTCCGTGTGGAGCTGGGGCTATGGAGCCGGTGGCAAGCTGGGCCACGGCGACTACCAGGACCAGCTGCTGCCGAAGAAGGTCGAGGCCTTGGCGGGGCGGCGCGTCGTCGCCGTGTCGGCTGGAGTTGGCCACTGCTTCGCCCTCACCGCCGACGGCGCCGTCTGGAGCTGGGGCGGTGGAGGCTTTGGCAAGTTGGGCCACGGCGACCGGCAGAACCAGCTGCTGCCGAAGAAGGTCGAGGCCTTGGCGGGCCGGCGCGTCGTCGCTGTTTCGACGGGAAGCAGCCACAGCCTCGCCCTCACCGCCGACAACGCCGTCTGGAGCTGGGGCTGGGGATACCAAGGCCAATTGGGCCACGGCGACGAGCAGGACCAGCTGCTGCCAAAGAAGGTCGAGGTGTTGGCTGACCGGCGTGTCGTCGCTGTCTCGGGGGGAGAATTGCACAGCATCGCCATCACCGCCGACAACGCCGTCTGGAGCTGGGGCGGTGGAGGATCTGGCCAGTTGGGCCACGGCGACGAGCTGAGCCAGCTGCTGCCCAAGAAAATCGAGGGTTTGGCTGGCCAGCGCGTCGTCGCTGTGTCGGCTGGAGAGTCCCACAGCCTCGCCATCACAGCCGACGGCGCTCTCTGGAGCTGGGGCTATGGAGGCTACGGCAAGCTGGGCCACGGCGACGAGCAGCTGCAGCCGGTGCCCAAGAAGGTCGAGGCCTTTGCAGGACAGCGCGTCGTCGCTGCGTTGGCTGGATACGAGCATAGCCTCGCCCTCACCGCCGACGGCGCCGTTTGGAGCTGGGGCTGTGGACGCGAAGGCCGGTTGGGCCACGGAGAGGACTTGTCGAACCAGCTGCTGCCCAAGAAGGTCGTGGGGTGGGCGCCGGAGCAGTGAGTTTCAAGGGAGGGAGGGGTGGATGTTGGTGGGTAGCACATTTCTTTTATTTATCGCTGATCTTGTGTGTATGAAGTCTCTCCGAGTCCTCCTCCTCGCCGTGCTGCCCGCCGCGGCAGCGATGAAACCACGTGTCGCTCCGCAAATGCAGCTCGCGTCGGCGCCGGCCGCCGGCCTTGCCGCCGCCGCCGCCCTCGCGACGGCGCTCCCCGCCTCTGCGGCGAGGAGTGGCGGCCGCGTCGGCGGCAGGGTGAGTGGTGGCGGCGGATACCGCGGCGGCGGCGGCGGCGGCGGCGGGTACCGCGGCGGCTACGGCGGCAGCACAAACGTCTACGTCGCGCCGCCGATGTCGCCCTTCGGGTTCGGCGGCTTCGGCTTCTCGCCCTTCGGGTACGGCTTCTCGCCGTTTGGCTTTGGCTTTGGCGTGCCGGCGCCGCTGCTGCTCCTCTTCCTCGGCGGCGCCGCCCTCACGTCTTTCCGCTCGGCCCGCGGGATCGAGGCGTCCGACAAGGCGGGCGCCGCGCTGTGCCTGCAAGTCGCCTGCTACTGCGACGACCGAAACGACTCGCTGTACGGCCGCCTGCAGTCGGTGGCGCGGTCGGCCGAGACGCAGTCGTACGAGGGCCTGCAGCGGCTGTGCTCCGACTCGTGCCTCGCGATGCTGCGCTCGTCCAAGGACTGGCTCGCCGGCCGCACCGAGAGCACGACGGCGGGGCTGCTCACCAACGACGTCGAGACGTCGTACAACCGCCTGGTCGTGCAGGAGCGCTCCAAGTGGGAGAGCGAGCAGGGCGCGCTCACGCGGTCCGCGCCGGGCCAGCCGACGTACATGGTGGCCACGCTGGTCGTGCTGCTCCGCCAGGGATCCGAGCTCCCGTCGGTCTCCACCGCCGCAGACTTGCGCGAGGCCATCTCTGCGCTGGCGGCGGACGTGAGCGTCGAGGATAACCTGCTCGCCGCGGAGCTCCTGTGGACGCCCGAGGACGGCAACGACGTCATGGAGCGCGACGACCTCTTCCTGAACTTCCCCGAGCTGGTGAACGTGTGAGCGGCGCAGTGCGCACACACGGCCCGGCGCAGGCTGCGGACAGAGCGGCTCGCGCAGCAACGCAGCAACTCTTGTAGTGGTAGTGAGCTGTCTCAGCTCACAGGAGAACGAGGAAAGCATGACACTTTGCCGAGTTGCACCGCCGAGACATGCGTGGAGTGGATGCTCGCCGTGTCGCGCGCGTCTCGCGCGGTGGTACGGTGGTCCGATCGTATATACAGTACCGGGATTCACCCGGGCAACACCCGCTCACCTCCGCTCTACGGCTTTAGAGGATAGAGCACATCTCCTAAGCCGCCCCTCTCTCTATAACTACATGCACATGCACATGTACATGTACATGTTGTTGTGAGAGTGCTATAAGAACACCTTCGAGCGCGAACAAGCCGAACCCCCCGACCCCCCGGGCCGATCTCTCTGATTAGTAACATCACGTGCGCGTATTGGTTGTGAGAGATACAGACGGCGCGACGCGGCCTAGAGCTCTCTCTGCACTCTGGTCTCTCGGTCTCTCTCCGTCCGCGAGAGTGTCGAGATCGATCACATTGGGCTAAACCCCACCTGGCTTCCTCCCGCTAAATGCCGCAAGAGTTCTCTTGCACCTCGAAGCGCAGAAAGGCTGCCAACCTCCTCTCCCATCTGGCGCTTGCGTCGGGCAGCGTGGGCGCGGCATCCGGGACGGATGCGGGCCGCTGTCTCGCGGGATCGCTGGAAGCCGCTCGGCTCCCCACGCGCCGCCGAGCTGCGATGGCGCCACCGCAACGGCTGCCCCTCCTCGGCTCCCGCCCCGGGGCTGCCGAAATAGGTGCCCCGAGCCACCGTTTGCAACATCCGCGCGGATCGGCGGCGCTGCCGACGCCCCCCCGACCGGCAAACACCACCAGAAGGGCGGTGGTGAAAGCAGCACCTCTCAAATGTCGTCGTCGTCGCGCAGTTCCCTAGTGTCCGCTCGGCGGCCGGCGGCGGCCGGCGGCCAAGAATCCGGATTTTCGTCTCTCGACGCGAAGATATGGTCCCGAGTCTCACTACTCGCCCCTCCATCCTGTAGGTCCGGACCTTGCCTGCTCAGTAGCCGCGATGAATCGTCGCCCTCATCGTCCGCGGTCATCCTTTCAGCCTCAAACGGGCCAAACGACTGTCTCGCCATCAGCCATCTCGCCTCTCGCGGTCGCGTCACGCCTTCCCTCGTGCCGCGAGTAGGCGCGTGAGTGATGGCCCTGCCGCCAGGTACACGGCTACACCTCGGGACGCCGTGCTGAGACGGGTAGAGCCGCCCCGCGGGAGCGAAAGCCGCCTCGCGCGCCTCAGCCCGCCGGGCCCCTCGGCGGCCAGTGTGGGGTGGATACGGCGGTGATAAACCCCTCTGACAGCAGCGCCTCACGGCGTGGGCTGCGAGGTCACTCGGGGTGACCCAGGGGGCGGCGGGGGAGCACTATCCCGCCGGAGCAGCGGGTGATATTCCCGCTACTCGCTCGAGTTTGAGGTGCGCCGCGCCTCCCTGTGCTGCCTTCCCGGCTGCCCCAGCCGCCCTCACCGTCCTCATCCCCTCCCCCACCCCCTCCCCCTCAGGCTAGGCCCTCGCCACCGCCGCTGCCGCTGTCTCCGCCACAGCCGCCGCTGTTTCCCTCCCCCCACCCATCTCTGAAGAATTAGGCCCACGGCGTGCCGCTTCGGGCCTGTCTGCGGAATCTCCTCTGTTGAAGAAGCGATGGGCGAGCTCGGCCTGTAGGCAGCCTACTTGACCCCGTTCGACTCACTCATCGTAGGAGGAGAGGTCTCGGAAAGAATCGCGGAACCGAAGATGTCTAGGAAGTGTCTAGGAAGTGTCTAGGAGGTGTCTAGGAACCGTCCCTGCGGCGTGCGGATCTCCGAGAGGTGCGGCGACGAGAGCAGCGATCGGAGGACGTGGTCTAGGTTTCGCCGCACCTGTACGAGATTCTCACTCCCCCCCGAGATTCTCCGAGACGCTACAGGTCTAGGTTTCGTCGC